TGTGTGTGTGTGGTGCCTCCGGCATCAGCATCGGGCTGGGAGCTCCCCAGGGGAAGGGGTCGTGGGTCCCGTTGGACTGGGGATTTCCAGCTGGCCGGGCGCTGGGGTGGTGGGATTCGCAGGTGTGACAGAGGGAATGCATGTGACTGGGGAACTTTGCCTGGGACTTGTTGCCCCAGTTGACCCCTCCACCCCCTCTGCTGCTGCCCGGGGCTAGTTGGGAGGAGATAAGGGATGGGGGAGCTTGAAGGGGCCCACCCAGCTGCTGAGCACTGGACTGAGGGTCCACACCCGCTCTGTTCCCTGCAGGAGGAAGAGAATGGAGGCCGAGGAGGAGGTAAGGAGCAGTGGGCCGGAGTGGGCGCTGGCAGGAGCTGGGACTCCCCAGGCCTGCTCCTTTCCCCTCCCCAAGTCTGCCTGTGTTTTCCTGTGCCCTCCACCCTTGACTCCTGTGCTTGTCGTTCTTCTCTGTGTCCTGGCTCGGCCCCCTCTGGGCATCTCTTCCTCCCTGTCTCTTTGTCCTCCCTCTTTCTTTCCTAAATTTGTCTTCCCCTGGGGCTGTCCATGCCACAGTCATTTGCTGGGCACAGCATACTCCAGGCGGCACTCTGGGGGCCCCTGCCCTCAACTTCTCCAGGCCTAGACCAAGGCAGAGGCAGGGGTGCAGGGGGCTGCTGGTGGGGTGCACTGAGCAAGGGCTCTCCTTGGGGATAGAGACAGTGGGGGCCTGGTGGGGCCCCAAGGGCTTTCTCTCTCAAGAAGGGGAGCCTACCTCCCCTTGCTGGCACCCAGGCTGCCTGGGGCATTCAAGGCAAAACTACTTAAACAGGCAGCCTCCTGCTGTGCCACTGGGCTTCTGCTGGGCGGACTTGGGAACACTGTCATCCTGAGTCCCCATCGCAGAGGCCGTGTTTGGGTAGGAGCCAGCTGACCTAAAACAGGCCCATTTCCCTAATGGACACAGCTAACAGTAGAGGAGTATTGGTGGGTGGAATGTAATTTGTGCCTATCTTGGGGTTCTCAGGCCTCTACTTGAAGCCCCTGGACCCTAGAGAAGGGAATGGGTTGGAGATATGAGTGCTGGATGTCTCCCTGGGTCTGTGGTGTGGACATCTCTGTGTGGGTGTGTCTCTCCCTGTTGTGTATCTTCAGGACCTGATGCGGGCCTCTTACAGCACCCTTTCCTCTGTCTTGTGACTTGGGTGTGTATGTGTGTGCATGACTCCATCTCCCCCACTAGAAGGTGAGCCCCGGAAGGGCGAGGACTACATCTCTTCGTCCTTTGTAGTCTAGTTTCCAGCCCACAGTGGGAACACAGTAGGCATATTATGGAGCAACTCTGTGTGTCCATGTGGGTTTTTATTGTCCCAGATATGTGTCCTCTTGTCTGGTTCTGCATAATGTCCCTGTGGATGTGTGGGTCTGTGCATGTCTGTGTCTGGGTGAGTGTGATCATTCTGAGCGTGTGTCCCCTGTGTAGCTGTGCATGGTGTGACTTCAGCAGTCACCCCCCCGCTAACCTGGTTGGTGCCCACCAGGACCCTCCCCCCGGCACCGCCTGGAGCCCATGGACACCATCTTCGTCAAGAATGTGAAGGATGATGGCCCTGCCCACAGAGCGGGGCTTCGCACAGGTGAGCTGTCCCCGTTACTGGCTCACTGCACCCTCTGGGGCTCTGCTCTCTCCTTCTGGTTAGGACAAGATTCTTGGATCCAGGTGTGGGAGAGGCTCCTGTCCCCCCACTGTCATCCATACCTGGCACAGGGCTTCTCAGGTGTGGCCATTGACACCCCTTGGCTTACTCACACATGGCCCTGCCTTTGTCCCCAGGAGACCGGCTGGTGAAGGTGAACGGGGAGAGCGTCATTGGGAAGACCTACTCCCAGGTCATAGCTCTGATCCAAAATAGGTGAGCGCCCCTGCCTGCCTCTCCTATGATAGCTCCCAGCCCACTGCCTCTGTGCACACCCCCCACTTGGCCCTGGGGGTGCCGTGGCGAGTAGGATCCCTGTTCTCCCAGGCCCCAGCCTCAGCCCACCTGACCCTCTGCCCTATCTCCATAGTGATGACACTCTGGAGCTCTCCATCATGCCCAAGGATGAGGACATCCTCCAGCTGGTGAGTCCTGCCCTACTGTCTGAGTGGAGGACCCCTGAGCCTTTCTCCTTGGGCCCTCCTCCTGCGGTGGCCCCTCTGAGAGGCAGAGGAGGCAGTGTAGGGGCAGCACAGCCTGGCATTGCCCAATCTGGGGTGCCAGGCCCATCCCTGGGCTGAGGCTGGTTGTTGCTTCATTCTGGGCTACTCTATGAAGGGAAGAGGGGAGGCGCTGGCCTTGGTAGGCAGGATTCCTGCCAGGGTATCTGGAAAGAGGGTGGCCTGGCAGGCCCTGCCAGACTGGCACGTTCTTGTCAGCTCCTGTAAGAGATGCCTGTTCCCCACACCCCCTCCCTGCCTGGCTCTGAGTGAGTGTATCTCTGGTAGGTATGTACACACACGTACAGAGCACACACCAGATACCCCCGGCACATCTCACCCCCCCACTGTCACATGCACCACTCAATACACGCGCGGGACACACCAGATACACAAACATACGACACAACCCCATGGCCCCAGCCTTCATATAGTATGCCATGTGGCACAGTATGCTGTAACACACACACAACGCACCAGACAAGCCCCAGTTCTACACACAGGCACCCACTACCACAATTCACCCTAACACCACAGGACACCACAACACCACATATGCCCACAAACACCAAGAACATCACAATACACTCTTCGTCTCCATTCCCACAGCACAAATGCCACAGCATATCACGATGCATACGCTTGGACTTCTCACCCCTCTGACATAAACACCCACCGATGTGTCATTGCAGCACGTATGCCCACGACATCACAGCACGCTGCAGTCCACCGCAGGGCCTGTGCCTGCCAATACCCCAGGATCCAAAATTTTCACAGTTGTGATGGGCGTTCTGAACCGCCTCCCCTCTGGACACCGCAGCACACCTAGAATACAACACATAGCCCACCACACAAAGGATGTCCACGGACCTCACACAGACATACCCGAACTCACGAGTGTGACCATTTACACATGCACACACACACCCACGCTCTGTCTCTCTCTCTCTCTCTCTCTCTCTCTGCCCAGTGCCCAGTTCCCTGGTCTCATGGGTCCCAGCCAGACGCCA